AAAATGTTATAAATCGAGATAAAACGAGTAGATTTAAAATGACATTTCCAAAAATACACATTCTCAAATAAAATTGTTTATATGTTAAAAATCAAACTTCCTATTCGTCTATAAGATCGTTTAATTCTATTGAAATTCTATCCATTAAAATTTCCACGAGAAAACTCGATGATGATATTATTATTATTATTGTAGTTATTTCTAACGACTAAATTTCTATTTTTTCCTGGAGAAACTACGGTAACGTCACGCTTCTACTTCTCCAAACAGGTTCTTCTTGCATTATACCGATAACTTACGCCACGTCCGTTCCTTTCATCGTAGTCATTTTTTCCAAAGACGAAGATGTTCGTGGCACGAGTACCTACTACTTACACTAAAACGAAACGACAAAGGGAAAAAATATAAAGAAACAGAAAAAAAAATAACATGAAAATGGAAACGACATGGGGAACCCTGACGCGTACGTAGAGATACACGTATACATAGTATTATATATTATATAAACGTATGTGTAAGTAAACGCGTATAATCAAGGTGGATCGCGTGCCATCGTCTTAATCAAGAAATTTTGGCTCCGGTCACGTGACTCGCACGAAACAACTCGACCAACTAAAGGAGATTTGTGTGTGAAAGCAAAAGAGTGAGGGTGAGAGAGAGAAAGAGAGAGAGAGGAGAGGAGAGATGGGAACGATGTCGCCCGCCATTTGGAGGGCTGAATTACGGTCTCTTAGGGATCGTTAACCCCCTAGAGAAAGCAAGAAGAGCTGCTTTATAAGGAGACTAGGAAAAATAATGTCTCGTTCGTGAGAACAATTAGTATCAACGCTTGAAGGGAAAACTCTTAGGATAAGGTGCACTAGAAATTCGTATACCGATTCGAAGGTTGACTCTTAGTACTACATGACCGACTTTTATAATGATCTATCACACGGCTTGTGGATTTAAATGACCATATTTCTCCATCTTTTAAGAATACTCCTCGGCTGTTCTATTTTGAAAAGTACACAAAATATCTAGACCAGTAGACTCGAATGAAGCATCATCATATCTCTCTTTCTCTCTCTCTCTCGACGCGAAAATTCTTTCTACATTTTTCTTTTTTACTTTCCCCTGTTTTTTTTTCTTTTTTTATTTTTTCTTGTCGTTTAATGTATTGGTATACTTTGCATTCGTACACGCTCGAAGGGAGTTCGGACTAAGCTTCTTCTTATTTTCCCTTCGGGACGAGCGCTCGCATTATTATTATCATTATCGTTCGTGTTATTATTATCGGACTGGTGTTCGTTGTAGACCGTTTCGAGGGGTGAATTATATCCTCGCGGGGGTCGTTAGACTAGCGGAGAAAGGAGTAAGAGGTGGGAAACGAAGACGAATAAAAAGACGAGTAAAGTAATGTACCATCCGTGAGAATAAAAACACCGTAATTATGCATCGGCGTGTCTCCGCGTATAACACGAATCACGCAAATAATGCGTATTCTCTTTACCATAGAAATCGTACAGTTGATTGATGTTCCAATTTTAAAATTCGATCAAATAAATGATAATATAACGATAATTATGATAAGTAAAAATGTGTGGAAATAAATAAATAAATAAAATATCAGTTGTGTGTGATATATTCATGAAAAAAATGTATAATCATAGGTGTGTGTATGGGGTATATACGTATATCGATATTTCGCGCAAGCTTGAAAATTTTACATTGAGAAATTTCGCATAACAAAGTCGTACCTCGTACGATCGATCCAGGAAAAAAGATTTAAAAATAAAGCCGCCTTTAAGCCGTCACCTGTCACACACCTGTCGGTCGCTTCAACGTCAAAGGGTTAAAAGGATAATCAGAGAGAAAGAGAAAAATGTACATTTTTATCGAACACTACTGGTAGGGAAATTCTACGAGGGTGTCGAACTAACTCTCCCTTTTTTCTCGCCCTACTCGGAGTATTCTACCCCCGCCCGCCGCCCCCCGCCCTCTCTCATTCTCGAACGAAATCCTCCATCACGGTCGGTGGTTGGTGCGAACTGTGATTACGGATTTGACGACTTCGCCACGAATCGCGACTCACCCCTTCGACGTTCTCTCTTGGAAAATGGGGAAAGGCAAGCTGAGGTGGAGGGGGGTAGGTGCTAGGATACCACGAGGGATCGCAACCCGGGCTGCTTGTTGGTGAATTCGTTCCACTACCAACACTACGTATTGATTCCGTCTCTCTAATGCGAAATTTTCTAAATTTCAGCTAACGGGTCAAAGGGTTAATATCGCATGCCTCAATGAAAAATGAAATAAAAGTCAAATTAAACATCTAATTTGAATGGCCTTGTATAACATTATTACGAGAAGAATGAGAAAATTTTCTCTTCTAATCAAAGAATATTTGTCAATGTAGGTACTACTATAAACGTCTAGATAAACAGATCGTGTCATACTATAGCTCGAGTTTCTATACACCCATTCTCTATCTTTCCTCGAATAGAGATCGTTCTAGCAAATCAAGACTCGATGTAGTGGATGCAGCTGTTAGAAATCGTCGTTCAATAAATCGCACGACACGTTCGACGTTGCTTCCTTCAAATATCTATCTCCCTTTCTTCTCAATGTTTGTTTCACTAAAACGGTTTGTAACGTTTATTCCTAACACGCGTACATAGAAGAGATCATCTATCCAATGTTGTCTGTCGATATACCGAATGAAATTCCACGATTTTTGTTATATAAGAAAAATAAGAAATAAGTGAATGGAAGGAACAAATAATTGTATATGTTTCTTTAAAGAAACATCCTGTCTGTTTGATTCGTTATACTGTCAAAATCAATCGTTAATAGAATCGATATCGTTATAAAAACACAAAACTAGAATTGCAAAATATGGAAATACACAAATATGGAATATATATTTTTGTAACGAGAAAATCGTATATAAACGGTAAAGAGAATATAGATATAGCTTTGGGCACTCGTACGCTTACATTTTTCCGACAAAATACACTTTTCGAAAGGTCCAAATTGTTGTAATCGTTTGTTTTAATAAATATCCGAACGAATAAAAATATAGTTCGTAGAATAGACTTTCATTTTAACAACTGCAGTTTGAGAATGTCACAAGCTTTAGTTTGTAATGGGGAAGAAACGGCAACTTTGAGGCCTGTAATCCGTTGAGATAAAAGCTATCGGCAATTATACGAGTCAATATTATTTGTTAGTTTACCGCAAGAAACGATAACAAACTCTCTGAATCTCTTGAGAGGGAACACCGAAAGCTCTTTCACCCAAGACTCTTCTTGCAAGAGTTGTAAGCAATCATCTGTAAGGATCCGCTTTAACGAAGAAAAAGTAACGATATTAAAAGGTGCGACGACGTCTTCTCGCGTTTAAAAAGAAAAAAGAAAAAAGTAAAAGATAGGAACACATAGCCTTTGATATTTCTTCCTTGTGTATATACATAAGAGAGATCCATTAAAGGCATGTTAAATATAAAGCTTCTTTAACGTTGGCCAATAAAGAAGCGTTTATCTTTCTCGAAAAAAAAAAAAAAAAAAGAATAATAAAAATACAAAAAAAATTTTATGCGTATGTATATACACATATTCTAAAAATAATCATACGATTTTTCTTTCCATTGAAATAACTTGATAAAGTCCTCCAAGTAAAATAACTTTCATTTATGTATAAGATCGTTTTTTACCTCTCTTGTTAAAATAAATAAATAAAAAGAAATAATATGATTTGATGCTTAAATGCTTACTCAAATGCAATTTTTGAATAAAAAAGCTCTTGAAATTTGGTAACACAAGGAAACTCGATCTTTAGTCTTCGTTCTCTTATCCTATCTCTCTGTCTCTCTCTCTCTCTTTCCCCTTTTTTATTTGATCTACCTTGAACTCATTCAGTAAATCATCCACTTTCCATGGCACAGTCTTATACAACTTTACACGTGAAAACGTCCCAGAGTAAATGACCACTTTGTTCCGTTTACATCTTTCTACGCGCGGTAAGTACATCCCCGCGGTTGAAAAATGAGCAAACCGTTTAGTTTGTACAAACGTCTTTAGGAGAAAAAGGAAGGCACTTAAGCTTGTCGAAGGACGCCCTCCGCGAATAAACGTTTTCGCTTACGCTTTCATGCGATTTTACACTCAGGAGTGAAAAATATAGAAAAAAATAAAGGAAGAGAGAGAGAGAGATGAAAAATAAAAGTAAGAGAAAGAAATTGTAGCAAGCAAGACCAACCAACCAATTAAAGACGATCCCACTTAATATTTGTTGTAAAATTTGTTAACTCGAGTTAAAACAAATAAACAAAGATACAACGTAGTTGCATGCGTTGAACGTTAGCCATTTTGGTCTTTCGGACTCGTGGACGCGAACAACATAGGGAAACGAACGAGGCACCAGGGACTACCCTGGATTTCGATTATCGTCGATAACTCGGCTGGATGTATCCCTTCCACTGCGATGGTAGTTTCCGGAAATTCGCTTCGCCTTTGGGATTATCCCACCTTGGGAATTCTCATCTCGGTACCGCGGCGGCCTGGCTCTCTATCTTTCCCTCTCTTACATGCACGTACACACACACACACACATATACGAATATATCCATATATAGTCTTTCTCTTTTCAACGAGCTTTGTCTTCGTTCCGCGTACCGATTTGTCCCAAATTACTTCATCGTGGATATTACAGGATCCGTTCGATTATTATCTCGTCGATCCTTCGTCGATCCTTCGTCGATCCTTCGTCTTCCCGTCTCTATTCCATCTAAGTCACCGCTATCTATATCTATCCTCCTTCTGAGCCATCTTTCAAGAACGCAACTTCCCTATAAACGCGTTTCCGTTTTGGGCTTCGCGACAGGGATAATCGAATCTACGATATGGAATATATTTCTTTGGGTTATTTCAAAAATTCAAATGAGGCAAAAATGCAAATATAATATATCAATGTGAAATGTTATAATATAAAATATTAATGTTATTATTCAATTAATTGTGTTACAGAATGTTCATTTCCACCACGTTGGGAAGGCACCTGGTTTCAAAGCGGGGTGAGGCAATCGATTGTAATATCCAGGAATGAGTTATCCAGTAAAGGCAGGTGTCTCCACAATGAGGGCGACAAGTTCCTTTTAGTCGACATGTGAGTAGTTATTATTTTTCCATTTATACGATTTTGTAATATTTTTCGACGAATATTCACACGACCAGACGAAAGGTTCGTTCAATCAATAATATCTAATAATATTATCGAACGATTGCAACAACAACAACAACATCAATAGCAAAACGAATATCGTTTTCCTGTTATTTTTTTTTTTTGTTCATTTTTTCTTTTCAAACTTGTCTTCGTTTTCACCCATCAACGTGTGACGGCAAATTTGGAAATTTCATCAATTCTAAAGCCGCGAGATATCGTTCGTTCAATCTTGTTCCTTTTGCGAGGATAGCTTTAGCAATGTGACATACGTATACATATGGTCATAACACTATAGTTAGATAGATGGATATATATATATATATATTGATATCGATATCGATATCGTTATTTTTCAATTTATCCGGCGTTGGGTTAAATGACGAGCTCGTCGTGTTTGTTTCGCAATTCGTATCGGTTCGATCTTCTCGTCGTGTCATATCGCAGCCTTGCTGGCGCCTCGCCCGACGCTTCCTTGGCTCCTTTCTCCACTACACGTAGAGTTTGGCCTCGGGGCTGGAAAGGATTAAAAGCTTCCAAGTAGTAGAGAGAAAGCTTGGGGATCCGTCGTCAAAGAAAACGAGAGAGAGAGAGAGAGAAAGAGAGTACTGGTGTTACGTGTAGAGTTACGTCCTTCTTCTCTAATACCCGCGATATACACATAAGGAAAGAAAGGTACAATGGGGTTACGTGGGGAAGGGGTTACACGCGAGTACGTGCTAGATGAAGAACCTTCTGTGTGGGTGTGTGTGTATATATATGTGTCGGGGTGTGTGTGTATCTGTGTTGTTAGAGAGAGAAAGTCGACGTTGTTTCTCCGCGTAATGCTCGTGTCACACGAGTTGCCTCAAGTTTTCGTGGAGATTTCTATCGGCTTTCGCCCTTCTCCCTCTCCTCCTCTTCCTAGTTCTCCTTCTACACCCTTCTCTCCACCTTTTCCACCGCGGGGGCGAGTGCGATCGATACGGCCCGGCGAGCGAGATAAAAAAAATATCCGAGAAAACGGGCTCACGATACGCGCCATGGTCGAAAGAAAATGTATAACCGAGAGAGTACCTCGTTTCTCCTACCTTTGCTGTAATAAATTAATCGTCTACTATACGCGCCCTTTATTTTTGAGAAAAACTTAGAAAGAGAGAGAGAGAGAGAGAAAAAAAAGAGATTAAAAAACTATTTTACTAATATATATTATGTTTAGAAAAATTATTAGTAAATTAAATTATTCGTTATTTCGTGCAGTGTAAAATATATTTATTTATATATATATATGTATGTAGGTATGTATAACACTCAGTGTACTAGTACTTTTCAAATAATCTTGAAAAGAATTTAAAATACGCTAGGTTGTAAAGTACGGCGCGCAAATGAACGAGAAAAATTTCATAATCGTGATTGTGCGCCTTTTTTATTTTCATCTTTTTCTCCCTCATTTCTTTTTTTTTCTTTTTTTTTTGTTCTTTTTCTTTCCCTTTTTTTTCCCTTACCATTCCTTGATCCTTCTTGGAAGAAGGATGAAGGAGAAGGGGGATAGGACACTGCGGGACTTTAAACTAAAGGAACATCCTCTTTCTCTTCGTTCCAGGAAATCCTGCTACCGCTGCGTCGTCATTCACGAGAAGCACTCCAATGTTCTCCAATACAAAGAGAGTAAGTACAATCTGCGAGGAGGACGAGGGGAAGTAGAGTAGAGTAGAAGAAGAAGAAGAAGGTCCATGGAAAAGATGGGTGCATTCGCCGCTATCCTCCTCTAGGTTCCTTTTCTTCGCGACATTGTTTCTCTTCTTCCAGTTTTTCGATCGATAACAATTTCCCAGCTGTGCGCATCATGACGCGCTATCCATCCACGCTACCATTTCGAAAATCCACTCGTTAATTAGAATGCCGATCATTAATTAAAAGCTCGACGAAGACCTAACTTTAACTTATAATAATACGTCGTCTCGTTTTAATTAACTTCACACGTTCGTCTTTTCATTTATTTTTCTTTTTCAAAGGAATACCTCGTTCGATAAATTCGCTTAAGTGGAATGTTGTTCGGACAGTTCGATGTTTAGAAATATATAGACAATATCGTAGCTTTTTTTGCTTTTATCATAGCGTTGACAACACTTTGATCGGTCAACCGTAATTTAAAGTGATAACGTGCCGACTAGAGGACCAAATGAATACTCGGGAAAGATCATATATCGGTGAAAGTGTATAAAGGTGGGAGGAGCGTTTGAGAGAAGTGCAAGTTAATATGAATTGGTATGAGAAGTAGGTTATTGATTGGACGAGTAAAAAGTATTGGGTATGACACGTAACACTTATTTACTTCAATAGTTTTATCGATCGTGCCAAAAAAAAAAATAAAAATAAAAAAACGGATCTAGCGAAAAAAGATAAAAGATAATCATAAAAATCGTAAGAAAAAAAAATTGAAGAAAAAAAAGAAACTAAAAATAGGTCGGACGAGTGGAAAATGTTATAAATTATAACGATAACGTTTATTCGATGCAAACTCGATTTTTTATTCACGCGAAACACCGTAAAAATATCGAGAAAATGGGATAGAAACGGCATCGCGTTCCGACAAAGTAGAAAAAGGAAATTTATTATTTAAACGTAACGCGAGTGAGAAGAAAGATCGAAGTTTTTGAAATATCTTTCGTAAAAGACCGACAACCGAATTTTCCTCGAAATTCGTAGTATTGTAGGATAGGAAAGTATATCGCGATAACGCGTGTGCGGAGAAGATCTAGAATTTGGCAGTAGATCAGAAACGAAAAAGAGAGAGAGAGAGAGAGAAAAGAAAAAACAGAACGACAAAGCAGTGGGACGAGTTCGCGACGATGTTACCGTGGTCGGCCAAAAAAGGATAACAGAGAGAAAAGACCAGAACCGCAGGCAGTGGATGTTGCCTCTTCGCCCATATTTTTCAACGATTTGTCAAAGTCTCCTCTTTCTTTTGTTTCGACTTTTTTTCTTTAAAACGGATTTTTAATCTGCCTAGCGTTATACCGTAACAACCAGCAGCAGCAACAGCAACAGCAGTAGCAAGCAAGTAGATAGACAAACAGGAAGAGAATACTGTCGCCCGCAGCTTGCGTTTCGAAATCGTCGTCCTGTTGGCCGCGAAAAAATATGGGTCGTACCGATGTTGATACCTCGGAAAAATAGTAGTACATACATATATACTATAACCGTGATACAAACAAAGTATATAGTACGAGAAAATACAATGCTAGAAGAAGTTAAAATTGGGTCAAAATGACGACTAGACGTTGAAAAGAACGGATAAACGAATGAATAGTATAAACCGGATTAAGTAAAATCCTTCTTCTACGTCTGACGAGCATCCCGTTCTACTACTATGTCTGTCTCTGTTTACATCGGAAAAATCGTATATTTCATTTAATAAAAGCAATCATTCTGTCTCTCCGAGACGTCACGAATTAAAGAGTTAAAAGATTTTAATATCATAAGAAAAAGAAAAAACGAAGACGAATGAATGAATGCTCGAGTAACGTGTACTCTTAACGGTTTTTCTCCCCGTCATATTTTATTTTCCATTTGGAAAATTGAACGTCGACGAAAGCGTAAGTAGGTAAAGGCGAACGTTTAATAATAATAAAAAAAATAAAAAAAGAAAAGAAAGAGGTATATAGGGTGGTAGTGGTGGTGGTGGTAGTGGTAGTGGTGGTGGTAGTAGTAATATAACTAAAGAGAGAAAAGAGAAGAGGAAGAGATTACGAGGAAAAAGAGAGAGGAGGGAGAAAAAGAAGGACGGAAAGGCGGAGGTAAAACACAATATTGCACTTTTTGCAACGCTTTAATAGTTTTAAAATTAGGTCCCGTTTTCCCACCCATCGCCTCGGGCGCCACAATATTATTGCTTCGTGCTTTCGGTGTTGGCGGATGGAAAGAAAAAAATGAAGAGATAGAAAATATCCGCGTATGGTTCTTCTTAACGTCAACGAAATTGTTTCACCTTCCGCTCTTTCTATTTCTTCTCTAACTTACTTCTCTTCATTTTCCCATTCCAAGCGTATACTTAATAATTCTCTCTTAAAATGCGTCCGCGTGAATATGTAAAAGTAAAAGAGGAAAATTTCAATAGAAGAAACTCGACGATGCTGTATGTATGCGAGTTTATGCACGAAAGAAACTAATAGTCGAGCTTTCGTACATTTTTCTTCGCTTAGAGTAACACCTGCGCACGAGAAAAGTTAAGTTCATTCGCAACGACGAAGTCTTTCCCGACTCGTCACGCCACTTTTCCGAACTCGTAGAAAAGAGATAGCTAGAGCGAGGAACGTTTTCTACGCCGGAGTTACTTCTACTCGTCCATATGAACTTCCTACTTTGAGAAAATTCCTCATCCCAAAACACTTTTTTCTCTTATTTTCTCGAGTAACTTTTGTCTTAGCTTTTTTTTTTTATTTGTTGCACCGAATATACCCCTAACCGTGCTTTACCTTACTCGCTATCTATTATTTTTCCCTTCCTTCTATAACAATTTCCTTTCATTTATTATCGAAATTTTTGCAAGTACGTATATTAGAAAAAAAATGCGTTTGCTCGTGTTTACACGATGCGATTTTTTGCATACTTTCTTTTTGTTTTCCTTCTCTCTCTCTCTCTCTCACTCTTTACTTTACACTCTTTGCCAGAGTATTTTTTTTCTTTTGGTCACGATCTAAACGAGCTTACATTAGTGCGGTAATTAGCGCACTTGTGGCGTTATTACACGCAACATTTATGTATGCGAGCGTAGCTATGGTTTAGCGCGACCGTCTCGACTTTTACTCGAAAACATTAATCTTAATTAACCAGCTTTATTACGCGTATGCTAGAAAATCCGACGTTTATATGCAAATCTAAATGAGTTAGAGAGAAAGGTACGAGATCCTTCGATAATTGTGATTTAATTCGAAACGAAATAAAGGAGAGTAAAAAGTTTTATAAATGGTAGACGACATTTAAATGATCGTCATTTGAAAAAGTATTTATAGCGATTTAATGGAGTTTTCACGGTCGTGGAAAAAAAAAAGAAAGAAAAATATATACGGAGGAGGAAGTTTGAGAATATATATAGGTTAATGTTCCCTCGAATCGTGTCCTAACATAATATCATCCTACGTTTTAAAGCCATGAAAATCGAGCGTGTCTTCTTTGAAAGTTTCTCGAACACCCTGGCTAATGTTCTCTCGATATCGTTCGATCGATATCGTCCTCATCGTCATCGTAAAATCGTTCCGACCGTGAAAAGACACCTCGACAACTTTTCATTTACGCGCTCGTACCTATGTATCTATATGTTTCCATGTATATATGTATGTACCTTTTTTTCCAGGGAAAATATTCAAAAGCAGGACGCTTTTTGCTCGTGGCATCATAAACGATAGAAAAATTTTTCACCTTTCGCTCGCGATTCCCGATTAAAATTCTTTGCCATTTTCATGGCAGACGTATGAAGAAGATATTTTCATTTTAATCATCGGTGGACATTTGACCTAAGCACAGGTTTAACTCGACGATCAAAATATTCAAAGTTTCATTCATTATTTTCCAAAAGAAAGAGATAAATACTATTTTAATATATAATGAATATAAAATAATCCTATTAAAGTATGTGTTAAAACGTTCGTACTAATACTAAGCATGGATAATTTAAACTGTGTTAGATAAATGGAAGATTAATTTCTGTTCGCAGCTTACTGCCACACTAGAAACTCCTTGTCGTCTTTATGCTCGTACATCACTGGCGATGCACTCCTGTACTCCATGTTTCGTGAGGAGGCACTCCCAGTACCGTGTCCCTTTCGAGGACCAATGACTTTCTCGTATAATCGGGGTCATGGTACTTGCTCCATTCCGCAGAGCAACGTTGACACGTGCACGGACGATAGTCGACTCCTTTTCAGGTATCAAGCTTGTCCGGATGTCTCCGCCTCTGAAAGTGCTGGTAAGTAATAAATAATTTCATGGGTATAAGTACCATTTAAATGAAGAAAATCATTGAACTATAAAACAAAGACAAAGACGCAAAATCGTTCCGTAGCTTTGATCGAGTATCAAATATACGTACACCATTAGGATATTTTCGGAGACGAGTTAAGCGAAATGTAAGGAAAGGTTAGCAGAGGAGAGAGAGAGAGAGAGAGAGAGGTTGAGAAGATAAATCGCGTCTCGTAGAAGACTTCTCTACAGATTCTCTTATCGGGAATGACTTGGTAAGGACTCGACGACCTCGAGATTAACGATTTCGTGTCGCATCCTATAGATCGAGAAATCGAGGGCGGTTACCGAGCTAAATGTCTCGAAGAACGTAGGACGAAGAAGATCAACCCCATCACTTTTGTCCTGTTAACGAACATCCCACCCTCTCGATTTGAAAGGTACGCGAGGCGTGTTGAGTTGAGTTGAGTTTTTTTATACAGAGATTTATACATTGGAACGAGGCCAACGTTTTGTTCGTTTTATCTATACTTTAAAAAAAATAATAATAAACAGGCGTGCATCTTTTACGATAAAATGACACGGTGAATAAAGTAGGACGGATACGAAGGCAGTAGTATCTATTTCTTCGATAGATATCGATGATCAAAGAGAATTTTATCGTACATCCGTAAAATTAGTTTCTCCAAAAGATGTGTTATCGTTGATTCGATACTCTTTCAAAACTAGTGAATTACAATAATACTTTTTGCATTTTTCGTTTAGTTATAAATTCGAATAGATATTTAAGTAAAGTTCCGACATAGAAATAGAATAAATAAAGCAATATGTAACGTGTAAATACCACGAGTATAAACACGGATAGATCAATGAAGAGGCGAATACGGAATACGCGATTGAAACGACGAACGGGCAATCGAGAGAGAGAAAGAGAAAGAGAGAGAGAGAGAGAGAGAGAGAGAGAGAGAGAAACAGATAGAGAGCGAGAAAGAGATCTTTCTCATTTGCATTTTTCCTCGGTGGTGATTCGATTTAACGTCGATACGCTTTAACCGCGCGTTTTCAACCGAACGTCCAGCCAAAATGAAAACAATTTGATGCGAAATGTAACCGGCCTGAAACGTACTTTTAACCAGCGCTTTGTGGCGAAGCTCTACGCTTGGTACGGTCGGACGACGAATTTTCAAAAATCAAATTGCCTCTGCGCTTCGATGTGACCCTCCCTTCCTACTCTTCTTCCAAACACACCCGCTCGATCTCTTTACACGCGTCGATTCGTTCAAATGCGTGCACTCTAATTGCACTCTAATTGCACCATAGCCAAATACAAAATTGGAACAACAACAAAAAAAAAAAAGAAAAAATAACAACAAAAATATATAACTAACGTGATACTTAGAAATCGATATAAACGTATAAGTTGCACGCGTAAAAAAACATCTATTCGCATAATTATCCACCAATTTGTTAGAATCATGATTCTTGCATTTAACACCTCCAAGTTACGAGCTGACGAATCTCATTTAGAAAGGTAATAACGTGCCCCTTTCCGATGAACTACTACCGACCGTAATTCTCTTGCTGGAATTTAAAAGACCTCTCTCTTTCTCTCTTTTTAACACGCGACACGATCCTTTACGTGCCAGGAACAAACATATCCTTATAGAGTACGAGAGCAAATCTCCTTCTCGATGTAAAAATGGTACGAGATGACGGTTTTTTCGTTTGGCTTTTCGCAAATTGCTCGCGACGTCATTCGGTAGGATCAAAAAAAGGAGGCTGAAAGGGCAAGAGGGTAAAGAAAGAAAAGGAAAAAAGAAAGAAGTAGAGGAGCTCGACTTTTCCGTAAGATGTGATTTAGATACGCGGCTCTTCGGGATAGCCTGGATTTCGAAGAACGAGCGGAAGGAAGTAGAAAAGAGAGAGAGAGAGAGAGAGAGAGAGAGAGAAAGAGAAAGAAAGAGATGAATGAAAGAAGAAGAGGAAAACGTAGTCGTGCCAATGATGGTAGAGGTGGCGATAGAGGATGATAAGATCTCGCTCTTTGCACTCCCTTCTTCTCGTTCTCATCGGTGTCGCCTCGAGGCGACTTCGTTACCGAACCGATAATTGTTGGTTTCTTTCGTCGTCTCTTCTTCACAAAGGATCTTTCACCGTTTCAGAAAAGTACGATCCCGGACGATCCTGCGGCGACAGCTTGAAATCGGGGTATCGTTTTTCAGCCGGAAATTTTTCTCTTTTTCTTTCTCTATCTCTATTTCTATCTCTCTTCCTTTTTTTCTTTCTTTCTCTGGTCACTCCTCTCGACTCGATTTCTTACTCCTCGGACTTTCAGCTTCCCTTTCTTGTTACTTTCACCCATTCTCTCATTCGTCTAGTTCCATTCCGTTTTTCCACTCTATTTTTCCTTCCTCGGCCTCTTTTTCTCTCTCTCTCTCTCTCTCTCTCCCCATATATATATACACTTCTTTCTCTTTTTCTTTTTTCTTTTACAGATAGTTCCAGCCATTCGTTTACACTTCCGTAAAAGTTCTTTCGCGATCGGTTACAGAGACTCCTCTCAGTCACAGGGTTTATGATTCTCGATGGTACATGAACGAAATATCTTTTGTACGACGACCCTGTCACCGTCGTCGTCGTCGTCGTCGTCGTCGTTTATCGGCGTCGCTTTGTATATACGACGTCGAGGACGACAAGAACGACTTTAGCCTTCGAGCAACACTACCAAGACGTGAAAATCTTTTCATTAACGTTGAATCGTCGGCTTTTGCTCTAAACGACATCGGTTTCTAAAAGTATATTTCACCAAAAGTTCAAAGATCGTCGCAGTAAATCGTCGTGAGATATTTCCTAGCATCGATCACACGTACACGCGTCTATTTTCTATACGTGACATTTAATTCCTCTACCCACGTTTATTCGAGCGATTTTAATTTTTTTTTTTTTCTTAAACACTCGTCGAATTAAAAATATTTTATTTGAAATTAAAATATAAATGATAAAAATATGAATATTGTGAGTTCGATTTAAACGAATTTTAATTCGTTTTCAAATAATAATACAAAATTACCCACACACCAATAATATATATATATATCTACATAACGATCATCATGAATCGATAAAAGGGTGAAACTTTGCATGTATCTTCTTGATTCGTTCGTTCGTTTCAAGCGTTGACAAATTTATTGTGAAAATATGACTATATATAAAAATGTATATATTTATAAAATATATATATATATGATAAATAAATATTTCATTTGTTTTAACAAAATACGAAAAATGTAATATTTTTCGTTTTTATTTACAAATGAATTATATAAAATAAATACGTCGGGGATAAATATTTAACAAAGTTATATCAATTGACAGACATACCATTCATATTTATCAATCGTTTACTTAGTTTCGATAAATATTGAGTTAATGATGAATAAAGGAATGATCATTGTCATTGAAAGAAGATTGAAATTTATAATGGCTTAGGTTATAAGGTAAATTGTTACGTTTCCAGTGGAAGAGCTCGAGTGTTTGGCCACATGGAAAGAGGGTAGCAGCCGGTACCTCGTTGGCCGTTTACATCACAACCACGCGTCGAGCAACGAAGATCGATACCGATGCTTCGTCTACGAGAAGGCCAGTCAGACGGTGCAGGGCAATCTAAACAGAGGTAGCATGGGCGGAATGGGCGGCATGGGCGGCATGGATCACGACGTCGCCCTACCACCGAGAGGACCACCACCGAGTGGACCGGTGCCTGAGGGCGCGGCCGAAATATACCGGGTGGCTCAAAGCGGCGACGCTACTTGCAATGGGCTTTCCAGTGCTACGGAGGGTTCTAGGACGATGACCTTGAAAAAAGGTAACCTCGATACATTCAATCCTTCCTAAATCTTTTCAATTAAACTCATTTCATTTCTTTGTCGAACGTCCGTTTCAAATTCTTCCAAGCCCGAAGCAACTAAACCCAAAGCAACTCAGTTCGTTTTTTGAGAGATTTATCGGTCCGAACGAATGGTCCATAGAAAACGATCGTCGAGTATGCGAACGCCAATAATCGGCCACTTATCGTAAACGCTCCTTTCAAAATATGTTCTCTCCGTATTCGCGTTGGAAAATATCCCCCGTTTCTATCCTCGCAACGTTTATTCCTAACGTTTATTCGCAACGCGATTTTTATTTCACGAGATAATACAAAATAATACAGTTCCCGTTTCTCATTCTTTTTCTCGATATTCGACTAACTGAAAATATGTTTTCTTTTCTTTGATGAGAGAACGTTCATTGATCAAATGTATCAATCAACGCATTGACTGCGATTAAATATCGTCAATATGAAAAGAGAAAATATTTACACGATTCTAAACTCAAAACTTATTTTCAGTTCTTTCTACTTTCTTACTTTTTATTTTGTTCATTTTCACTTGCTCCCGAGATCCTCATTTTCAGTTTACAAACCCGTATTTTAGTCTATACGTACAGTCTCGAGGCAAACTTCGTTAAAGGATTTCACTTCGGTGGACTTTCTCTCTCTCTCTCTCTTTCTCTCTCTCTTCACTATCCTCTACAGTTGCCACTTTCTTTTACAAATCGTTGCAAAGTCGAATGCGTAGTCAACGACACGCGGATGAAACTTGCGAGTGGACGAGCACGAGAAAGAAAAAGAGGAACTCGTTCAAGTAACTTCGTAGTAGGCACTCCGAAATAGAGTGGAAAAAGAATTAGATAGATAGATGAAAGAAGATAAGACGTTTCTAAATAAAAAAACAATGAACATTGTATTATCTTTGGCTGTTAAAATCGATTTGTAAAAATATGCGTTATCGCGAACGCGTAGAAAATGTGCTCGACGATGGAAATAATGGAACAAAAAGAAGATGAAAAAAGGTGACAAAAAAAAAAAAAAAAGAAAAAGGAAAAAGGGTGGACAGGAGGAGGAGATCTTGTAACACAGAAACTTTGCCAGGAATCTCTTGTCTTCCGTGGTAGAAACGAAAGGTAGCGTAAAAGCTCTAGGAGGTGGGTTGTAAGAAGAAGTCGGGCGCCAGGAAGCGAGAAAGTCATCTCGTAGATGAGTAACCAGAACCCAAGAAGCGTTTTCTTCCTAGCAAAAAGTGGTGTTACAGAAATTGCCACGTCTCGAGATATCGAGTTTTGCGGGCGCATCGCGAGTTTCTCCTTCCTAGACATTAGGTTTATGAAGCGAATGAAAAGCCACACAGAGAAAAAGAGAAAGGGAAAGAAAAGGATGCCGCTTTTCCACGGATAAGAAACGTTTTACAGAAGATGGGCCTTCTTCTTCTTCTTCTTTTTCTTTTTCTTTTTCTTATTCTTATTCTTCTTTTTCTTCGCTAAAAAGCAAAAACGAAACAAGACAATGGTAAGAAGTTAGAATCAATAATAAATTCGTATTATCGTATCGTAAAAAGTATCTAACTGATAGAATATCTTTGTAAAGAAAAAGTAAGGAAAACGTAGAAAAAGTATATTCGCATGCATGTTATTATTGTTCATCGCGTACACGTGCTGCCGCCATGTATATCCTAGTGAAAAATACGAGAAGAAAATACTCGGTACGTGCATTCTTTATTTTTCTTTGGAAAAATACAATATCGAGCCTTGGCCGGTGTGCCCTCATATTTTTCTTTTCCTCTTTCTACCTCGACACGAAATTTCCTTCCTCGTATAATTTAACGGAGTCGAACTCACGGAATTGTTCGAAGATCGTTTAAACGATTATATCAACCGGATGCATATAGAGAGTGCATATAAAATATTTTTCGCGAGAGTTAGGCAAAAGAACGAACCAAAAGAGACAAGGAGAGAGAGAGAAAAGCACGAGTCGTGAATCGACACGCTTCTGGCTGCCGGATAATCGGTGCATTAAATATGAACTCGATGGAAATTGCCATCATGGTAGGAAAATAAGAAAAAAGAGATAGAAAGAGGTAGTACGTTACTTGTTCTGTCAAGCGTGGTACACAGATACACGCATACTATGGCGTAACTCGGTAATAAAGAAAAGCACCGAAGTTCATGCCGCCATTTCTGTGTCCTCGCGCGATTTTATCGTCGTCGTTAAAATTCGAATTAGCTATACCTACCTATCTACCAAGTTACCTACCAAGGTACCTACCAAGGTACCTACCAAGTTACCTACCAACCATGAGAGTACATACAGAGGAAAAGAGGGAGGCAAAAAAGTGAACGAGCTTGGGGAACGAACGAACGAACGAACGAACGAACGAGTGAAACCGAGGGGGCAGGGGGGAAAGCACCATTCGATTTTTACGATCGAGGAATTTGTGTTTCGGCCGCTCGCGTCGACGGACTTATCGAAGGAGCGCCTGAATTATTTCCATTCTTTTCCACGTCGTGCAACAATGCTTTTACGCGCCATAAAAGCAGCCGAACGAACGTGCACTCTGTCAACCCTTCCCTCTACCCTTCCCACCACCCTTTCTATTCAATTCCTTTTTCCTTTCTTTTACTCTATCCCTTCATCTCCCTTCCATTAGACCTTCTTAACCCTTTTCTCTCTCATTTCTTGGTCCGGAAAGGCCAAAATAACTCTTTTCTTCCTCTACATTTTACACTCTTGAAAAAAAAGAAAATAAAAAAGAAGAAAAGTATCGTAGTAGGGCGTGACAAAAATGATTTCATTTCAAATATCGAACCTATGAAATATCTTTATCCTGTCATTTTTCATATTCTATTATTCTTTCATATTTTATGTATAATTATTTCATCATATAATTTTGCGAATAATTATTTTGAATGATAATGAAATAAATGATATTTGATATTGATAAAATACTTTCTAGGACTTTCGATCGTCGATTCAAAACAAATTCGGATAAAATAGAATCGACAGAAATGACAAAATGTTGTATAATTAATTACACTGTTCAGTTAATAGAACGTTAATGAAGGTTCTATTACTGTACTAGAGTTTGACTTTGATCCGTTTGTGTTACAGTCTCATCACCAGGCGAATGCCGTTTCCCGAACTGGTTGACTGGTCATAGTAGCGGAGGACTCACATGGCATACACTAGATCTCGGAAGATCCTATACCTTTCATCCTAGAAACGCTTCCCTTCACGTAGCTCGATCAAACGGTAGTTCCTCCAGATTCGATAGTGGCTCTTTGGATGGACAGTATATTCCTGGACAAGAGGATCAAGACGTTAAAATTCTCTGCAATACTATCAAACAAACTAATACTGCTCCCGGTATGATTATGACCATGCTGGTTGCCCACTTCACTGTTGGATGGTAATTTTTATCATTTATTTATATTTTTGTCAAGTTCATCCCTATTAGATAAGCAAAAACTACGCTAACTTATTGACCAATCTAATAATGTATGATCTAAATTTACAAAATTCTATAACCTTATATAATTCATTTGTATTTTTTTTTCATTTATTTCATATGTCTTAAAATAAAGAAAGCAAAGAAGAAGAAAATGGTTGATAATTGAATTTAAAAAAAAATACTTTTCATCTAATTTCCCTAGATATATGATTTATTTCTTTTCGATATATTTTCTATTAGAACAAAATTATATTTTAAATCTTATTGTATATTTATACACGTACTTTTATATTTCAACTGATTGATACTCTTCACAGCCGAAGCGGTTACATGTGCATGGCGTTTTACCGAAGAGACGGTCACGTGATAGAAGTGCAAACAGGAAGTGCCATCTCAAGACCGGAAGAAGCTTGCAGCTCGCCCCATTTTCAACACAGTATACCTTACCTCACGTTAGTTAGTAAGTAATTTTCGATTTACATATTGCTATAAATGTTTTATACTCGTATCATTTTATTATTCATAATTTTAATTGACTAACAATAAGATAAAACAAAAGTAGAAGATCAAGTTTGTTAATATAAGTCTGTTCGACTTTCTATTTAATCTTGTCGCATGGAAAAATCCAATTTTAGAACTGTTATTTCTATCCAATCATTTTGAAGTATAGAATTATGCGCTAAGTTAAATTACATCAAAGAAAAGGATACTAGAAATCTTCAAACATTGATCACAACCGTTGACGATTAATACCTGTGTGGATTGATGATTAGACTAAATCTATATAGACAGTATACATATATATATATATATATATATATATATATACATATATGCACACATAGATAGATACATACACATACGTAAACGGTCGATAATTCATGAGCGATAGCGTACATGACCTAAATGTGCATCTCCTTGGGTATATTGCATATTCGTGACAAATGTTCGCTGAACTATGCATAACTTAATACTTACGTTCGCGCTTAACTTTTGTACATATAATGTTGAACATGAACGTATTATACTTACAAAACACGCGCGCGCGCAAACACATGGAAGCGCAATTTTACACATATGGACCGAAACACCATGTAATGGGAATCGATCGATGAAAAAGCCTTCTCTGCGTTTCCATCGAACATTTCATACATAAATAATGGATAACGAGCGTGGATGGGTGCTTAGACATTTATAAGGTTTACATTGTAAATACGACTGAACTTTCAACAAAGTTTCTTTATTATTCATCCAAAAATAGTGTAATGAGAAAAGAGATGAAAGATTATTAAAAGGATTTTCCGTTCGTTTTTTAAGCTATAGATTAAATGAAAAAAAAAAAAAATGTTGGATACAAATTTACTATGAACTATTATTTGGTCTAGGTCAGTGAATTTTACAAACGATCTGCTCGAAACAAAGGTAACTCGTATAGAAGTAAAGAGATAGAGAGAAAGAGAGAGAGAGAAAAAGAAATATAGTATGAGTAGAAACATGAAGAATTCTGTAGAAAAGAAGAGAACTAGCACCGTTGGGAAAGTTCTACCGATACAAGCCATGAGAATTTAGTGGCACGCCACTGGTCACCGAGGTAATTCTTCCTCGGCTAGAAAAGAGGATCACGAAGGAATATAAAAGGAAGAAAAGAGAAAAAACAAAAAAAGAAAATTGAAGAGAAAGAGAACAAGAGGGAGGAGAAATGAAAACAGGTTTTGGACGATTTGTCAAAATCCTACGAAAGGCTTATAAGTTATATACCTATCGTTGCTTGCCGAAGCGTCTATTCGTTGCTTGCATCTATCTCTTTTTCTCTACTATACGAAAATGTATATGTATCTCCATGTGTGTGTGTGTGTGTGTATTCTCGTGTGTCACGAAAGCTTTTCGCCTTCTTCTCAAATCATATAGATAAATACGAGGGGCTCGTAGATCTTTGTGTTTATACGTATGTGTGTTATTTGCTCGCGAACAAGACTATCACGTTCGTAGAAATTCAATTTGCGGTGAATTCACGCAGCGCGTCACGAAAATAGTTGTACCTACCAACCTACCTACCTACCTACCTCGGACGTGATTGAGTACCGACCGTTTGTGTTTCGTCATTTGCCCGCTAGCTCTTACCTTTGCCCATGGCCATCGGTACTTTTGATATCTCGCCTCCCGATTTTCCAAGCTTTTCCTTCGAAAATACTTCCGCCGTGTCGTCCTGAACAAGACCACCCGTAGATTTATCCAAGCGTGTTTCATCGAAAATGGAAAATCGATACGGTACAGAAGGCGAATTTTCAAAATACCTTTAGAAATACTACCATAATCGAATCATGCAATGACAACGAAAGTCGATACAAATGTTCCAACTATTTTCCACATTGCTATATTATTTCCGATCAATACTGAATTAATTATATTATTAATTTCGATATTCCATAGCAAGTGGAACGTCAATTGAACATCAACCATATTATAATATATAATATATACTATATATATATACATGTATATATATACATATATGTGTACCGAAATATCTATTAATAGGAGATCAAGGAATGCCTAGTTAAATCTTAGAACATATCCCTGCATACGCTGAGTCACGGTAGTATGTATACACGTCCCTAATATAAATTGTAAATAATTGATATTTGTTTGTAATGCAAAGTTTGATAATTCTTCTACGTGGAGACCTACGGTTAACTCTCCTATGCATCCTTTATTTATGTTAAATTATAATTTCCTTACAATGAAATATTGCAATTGTAGGAAATATTAATCGTTTGAATTGAATTGTAGGAGTAGGAATATACTCGTATGAGTTATTCTAGTCTATTGCTTTCGCAAAATAGTAAAGGCTGCCAAGTCTCGTCGACAGAAGCTTAGAAATGAACCCACGAGCTGGGTTTCTCCTTTCTCTACTCTTTCGACCACCAGCAACGACAGCCCTTGTCCCTCATCCCTCTCATCTTCTAACTCGATCGACTCCCGCGGGTCAGAGTTGTAATCCCACGGGAGTTATTGGATTCGGTTTGATCCACTGGTCGTTCATTCTTTTTTCCTACTTTCCTTTCCCCTTTTCTTTCCTCTCTCTCTCTCTCTCTCTCTCTCTTCACTTTTTATCCTGGAAGCCGATTCGCGACAAGAAAATCGTCTCATCGATCCACTCGAATACGAAAATCTCTCCCGAGGTTTTCATTTCAAACGTAAACTTATATGTCCATCCTATTATTATATTCTCAATAATTTATTAATAAATATATCCAACACAATTTTTTGAATAATCTTAACACTTTTTCTTGTTGTTGTTGTTGTTGTTGCAAGATGTCACGGGTTCACACGAAAATATAGATTTCAGCTAAAAGAGTAAGTAGAAATTTATGCAAAATTGAAGGTCGTTATTCATCGAGGGCTTTAAAATCATCTCGCTGGTCCGAAGGGAAAAGAGGCTGTCGTCTGTTCGGAATAACGTAGATCAGATTTATACTTCTTTGAGGCCCGTTTTTTAAGATAATGCCAAGTTTATGATGCCATACACGAAGCAGTTTATCGTGGCCTACTTTTTTAAATTAAACTTTACACGCGACGTTGACGATCCTATTCGTTTTAATTTCACGCTTAATACACCTGCCTGCCTGCCTGCTTGCCTGCGCTCAGAGAGAGAAGAGAGACGCGAGATAAAATTGAAGATATGGTGATAAGGGAAGAACGAGGAAAAGAATCAGGCGTTAGTTTTAGCTAGAAAATAGCCGATACAACTGTTTCGAAGCTTTTCTAAAGTATAATCAACGATAATCCAAATTGAGAGACGAACGATAACGGATTTTTCTCGAATATAGCTATGCTTTTCAATTTACCGTTTGCAAGAGCTTTGGTCGAACGGTTGTCATAGGATTTACTAGAAAACGAAAGAAGAATAAGAAAGGAGAGAGAGAGAGAGATAAACAGAGGACAAACTCGAATCGAAAAATAGCATCTTTACGTAATGTCAAGAGAGATATTGAATCCGATTTGATACATCGTTCGTTCGTAGGATCCCTCTCTCTTTTCTACGTCCATTCCTGTTCTCTTCTCCTTCTTCCTCTTCCTCTTCCTCTTCTCCTCCCTTTTCTATTTTTTTCTCTTTCCTCTTATTCTGTTGAACGAACTTGGAGAAACCGGTAAGATTGATCTACCGATTTATGGAAAGAAACTGAATTTTCCTTCGGGTCACGTACGAATTCTCCAGAGGGTCAACCTCGAATTTTGAAGCTTTAGGAATATCTCCGATGAATAATAAGATCGTAATAATAATTTATGTGTATGTCGATCAAATATAAATTATTCGCAAGATACTCGAAATTCGAAGGGACCAACTCATCCGTGAGAGAGTAATATTGATTAATGATTACCGATCCGCAAACTTTGTTACCGTGTTATTTTCTTTCCTTTCGTATCTTTATTCCTTTTACGTTTTCTTTTTATTTCCCCCCCCCTTTCTTTTTCTTTACTATCATTTTTTTGTTACTCGCGAATCCGTAATTATCGGCTACGATTCCCATCGACAATAATAGGAGAGAAAATTCTTTTGAATCGCACGATGAACAATCTACATCCGGCGATATCGAAGGAGACATCGTTTTAACCTTGATTTGATGTAATAACGCAGTTCTTTTATGATCATGAAAGTTATTGGATTCTCTTTGTAGTCCTCGTCTTCCACTTGCACTTCCACCTTTTCCACCCTCTTCGTCCCCCCTTTGTTCTCCTTTATAATCCTCCTCTCCCTCTTCATTTCCTTTCTTCTTTCTCTTTGTAAAACAAGTTTGTACGAAGCGAGCTCAATCCAGTGATTCTCCGCGAACGCGAGAGAAAGCTATGCCACCACCACCACCATCACCACCACCACCCTCTTCGATCGACTCGCACAAATCTCCGAGAGAACGTACTTCGAATTTCAAACGAGCAAATGGAAAGTTCCCGTTGCCTATCTCTAATACACGATAAAGCAATAACAGAGATACCACGGTCGACGATAATTCGCGTGGATCGTCGAATTCATAAATTCGATTTACGCGGAATTAATTATACACGGTGTCGCGCGAGATTCGCGCTACGACTACAAAAACGATTGGGGAAAAAAAAACTTGATGAAATGTTCTTGCATATGAGAATATTGTTTGCTCGCGTAGATTTTCTATTCGTATATAATATAATAATAACGCAAAAATACATTATCGAAAATAAATCATATTCTATGCTCGATCTTGTATAAGACCTTTTTCTAATTAGGTTATCAGCTAAAATACTGCTATAAACGTGTGTGCGTGCGTGTACGTGTAAAGGTGTGAGTAGATTCGCGATTTAACAGGTATAAAGAGGACGAATCCCTAAGCAATTAAGCTACTGGCACGTGGAACGTCCGTCGAGATCTATCGCGGCTCATGCTGCTTATCCGTTCGACGATATGAAAACAAAGAACGCGGAGGA